TGTTTGAGTCGCGCGGCCAACGGATTGGCCCAGGGCTCGAGCCCCAGGCGTCGGTAGCACCTTGACCGTTCTGACCAGACATCGTCTCAAGCTCCGCGAAGTACTCCGCCCAATCAGTTACTTTAGTACCATTTTCGAACACGGGCGAGGGAGTGCCGCAGAAGGGACCATAGTTGGGGACTGGTTCGTTGATAGCGACGGCGACCGCAAGGGCGGCGACTTGTAGAAGGAAGAACAGAAACATTTTAGCGGATAGCCAGCTCGTTGTGGGCAGAGGTGGAAGCACTTATAACGCGGTCAGGAAAAGAGCAAGTCGCAGCCTGGAGGCCAAGAAAACTACACCACGCGCAATTGTGGTACGTGCAGGTGAGCAAACGCTCGACCGCGAGCTAGTAGTCATCGGATGAAGAGTAGAATTGTACGATGACGTATCCGCAGACGAGGAATGCGAGCACATTCCTGAGAACTGCGACGTGAACCGTGGCTGTACCAAATATCTTCTCATTCTTCTTGTTGTGTTCTCGAGGCAGGGCATAAACATGCAGGGGCCAAAGTTGGAACCTCTAAGAATTTCCGAAGTACCACAACGACTGTGCGTATCACAGTAACCCGACTTTTTCTGCTTCATGCGAACAACATCCCGACTAAAGCGAAGATAGTGTATAGCGGCGTAACAAAGAAAACGCGAGATAGATGAAGTAGGGGTAATTGATGATGAAACCTCGAACAGATTTCGCGTTATTGGCTGTGCTTCTGTACTGCAGGTGAAGCAGGTTTGACATTCAGTGTGCGACAACAAGGTTACTCGAGATGAGACGAGGCGAGTGCTGTCCTTAGCGACAAACTGTACGATAAAATTGGAGGTAGATTAGTGTAGCTTTGTCGGCTATATTTCGAGATGCGTTCATGTCGGCAAGTTGGAGCTCAAAGGGCGTGATCCTGGGACAGATTGTTGTACTGAGCGTGGATGGTCTTCTGCTGTTCTTGCGCTGGCATTCGAGTTTGCGACACGAGATACATTGAGGGTGAGCATTTGCGGGTCATAGACATGATCTGATCGCATTCTCCGATGCATGTTGGTAAAGCAGTAGTTGCCGTGGAAGAGTGAAAGCGAAGAGCTGGCGCGTCTGTGTTGGCCTTAGGGTCGAAGCTACCTAGCCAACCTTGGAAGCGACACGTGAGCGGACACCCTCATCACTTCCAGTTCCGATCCCGGTTCCGAGGTCACTCCGTAACACGCCATAATCCACGAAACATCCAACACAAAATAGATTACTGCATTGCCCATTACACACTAGCCATAGATTCGTGGACACTTTTGGATAATGCGCCTTGCTACTGTGGAATGGGTTCCACTATCATAAACCCTTCAATACAGCTGGACCCGTTTCCTCCCGATTCTCTCACGTGGAAGAACATACCTGAGTACCTAAATTCACTAACAATGAAGACGTTCGGTGTAGTAGACGGGCAAGTTCAGGCCTGCCATGTCGCAGAAGATCTTAACTCTATACCCATCATTCGCAAATCCTGTTTCTGTCACTCCTGAGACGACACCCAAGCAGCTCTCCTAATGTAGTGATTACGCGTGCTCCTGTCGCGACCTCAGCGCTAGGCATGGCTTTGACCTTCAAGGACTGCTGGGCTATACATAGCCTGGATGAAGTCATGCTCGTGGTTGAGTTCTAAGTAAAGCAGTATATCGTGTGACCTATATCACAAGGTCTGGTACTGGGTATGTTGCGTAGCGGAGTCATGTCCGTCGAGGTTGACCAAGGTCATGACATGCCGCGGCTACAACGCGCTTGTCGCCCCCAACATGTACCCGAAAAATCACTCATCCGAAAACCCACAGTTTCACAGGAAAACATTTCTTACAGACTGTACCAATTCGAGCGCATTCGCGGACGCCACGAAGGATTAGGAGAGGGAAGCGACAGAACATCGTGGCGACCAGGAGACAGTGGGGCATTGGTGATAGTGGCTGCGTCTCCAATACCACAACGGCCCCTCACGACCCTGCAGGACCCGACTCTTCATTCCATGCCCCACTGTCTAACGCGGAAGGTGACCAGTTCCTGTCAAATGGCCGCTTCAGCCGAGGGAGATGCGATGATCTGATAAGATTAGATGTCATCGTGACCAGCAAGACCGGCTAGCGCCGCTACCTAGTTGTCATGAGGGGCAGTTCGCGCGCAATTGGGGATGAGCTCTTTCCCAACAACATCCACCTCATGATCCTGCAGCAGCACTACGAAAGCCACATGTCTCCATTAAAACAGCCACCAGCAAATATTTGGGCGCGAAGAAGTTTCTTCCCACGCTCGTGGACAGTCGGGCCTCATCACAATGGAGTTCCCACGCTGGCTGCTAGTGCCGCCAGCTAGAAGACGCCAGGAACGGCGCGAAACTGGATCATGCAACCACGACGCGCTTGCTCAACGAGGATGCTCTTCCTCGTACGGTTCCATCCACAAGGCGAGACCCTCAGGTTGGTCCCGCACGGAATTGAAGTTTCGGCGCACACTGCTCGTTTCGATGAGCCGGGAGCTCCATCCGCCACTGACAACCCGGGCCAAGACCTTGGCAATGCAGCGTTGCGGCACAGCCAAGACGAGCCAGCAATCAGCTCACGGCGAGATTGGATCTTATCTGATCATCTAGCACTTATCTGATCATCTAGCCGCGCCTAATGCTCTCTGGGCATACGAGATACCTGGACGGTGGGAGATGATCCCAAGCCACCGGGTGGGATACACATGGCAAAATTTTCAGACGCTGTAACTGCGCTGACATTCCCTGTCCGGTCTTCGGAGAGTGGGCCGAGGGTATACTTAAGTATGGCAGTGCTGCCTGTGTTACGATCGTCGCTCACCTGCATCCCAATTTCATACCCTGCCTTGCCCGGCACTTTTCCGGCATCCTTGTTTTGCCATGTCGAACCTGGCTGCGACTGACGCCGTGCGACCTGTGGAGGGCTTTGGTCGTCCCTCGAGAGATATCGACATGGAGAAGAATGGCGACCAAGCTTTCAATGCCCACGAGACTGGCAGCGATGGAGAGACCAAGTCTGTCGAATCGGAAACCTTCCAGAACGGTGTTCAGCGGGTGCGCGCAATCACAGAGATTTGGAGCACGAAGACCTTGATCACGATGCTGGTGTTGTATGTTTCGATTACATTCAAACTGCGAAACTAAAGACTGACTTGTCCGTGTAGCATTTACCTTATCGAATTCGTCGCTTTCCTGCAGAATGCCATTGACGCCGCGCTCAACCCCTTCATCACCTCGGCCTTCGGTACACACGGTCTCCTGAACGTCGGAAGCGTGATGGCAACTGCGCTCGGTGGCTGCCTTCCTCTCGTCATTGCCAAGGTCATCGATATCTTTGGTCGCGTGGAGGGATTCTTCTTCATGCTGCTCGTCGTCGTCGCCGGTATGGCTATGAAAGCCGCCTGCACCAACGTGCAGACCTACATCGCCGGTCACGTCCTCTACTGGGCTGGTCACATTGGTGTTTTATTCGTTGCCGACATCATGGCCGCGGATTGCACCAGCCTGACGAACCGCATGATCATCTTCACCCTCAACGGAACTCCTCGTATCGCAAGCACTTTCGCCGCACCCGTGATCGCTGACATGTTCTACTACCAGAACAGCTGGCGATGGGCTTTCGGTGCATTCATTATTATCTTCGTCGGTTGCTGCGCTCCCGCGTTGGTGCTCATGATGTTCATGTACCGCAAGGCTAGGAAGGCTGGTCTCGTCAAGAACGTAAAGTCGGATCGTAACTTTCTCCAATCGCTGTGGTACTACGCCATACAGTTTGACAGTAAGCTACACACTCATCTCAAGATTTATCCGTATAGCTGCTAACGCGCGACCCAGTCCTTGGCATCGTCCTCATCATGTGCGCGTGGAGTCTCTTTGTTCTGCCGTTCAGTCTCGTCGCCTACGCGCCTCAGGGCTGGAACACCCCGTACATCATCGCCTGTATCGTCCTCGGACTCTGCCTCTTCCCCTGCTTCTACATCTGGGAAGCCAAGTTTGCGCCCGTCCAATTCCTACCCTGGAAGTACCTCAAGAACGGTACCATCATCGGGTCCTGCCTGCTTTACTGCGTCATGTTCCTGTCCGTCTTCTGCTGGAACGGATATTTCTACTCCTACTTGCTTGTCGTACACAGGCAGAGCATTCCCCACGCTGGATACATCCTCAACGCTTTCTCGCTTACCTCGTCGACATTCAGTCCGCTCATCGCATGGTGGATCCACAAATCTGGTAACTTCAAGTGGACGGCCTACACCGGTGTACCCATCGTTCTCCTCGGTACAGCTCTCCTGATCCCCTTCCGAAACCCATCCACCAACCCCGGTGTTCTCGCCTTCACACAAGTACTCGTCGGTCTCGGTACGGCTTTCTTCGCCACCTGCGCCCAGCTCGCCGTCATGGTCCCCGTCACTCACCAAGAAATCGCCGTCGTCAACGCCGTTTGGGGTCTCTTTGGCAGCTTCGGTTCATCTATCGGATATGCCATCGCCGGTGCCATGTGGAACAACATCCTCCCTGGACAGTTACTCATGCGTCTGCCCGAGGAAAGCAAGCCCGAATACAGGGCAATTTTCGGAAACATCACCTTGCAGCAATCGTTCCTCGATGGTACGCCAGAGCGCGATGCCGTTGTCGGTGCTTATGCCGATGTGCAACGCAAGATGGTCATCACTGGCGCGTGCTTTGTACCGCTGTGCTTGGCTAGCATCTACATCTGGAAGAACATCAACGTTAAGAAGCTTGAGGAGGAGAATGGTAAGCAGACTAAGGGTAATGTCTTCTAAGCGGTACATTGTTCGCTCTATGATGTGTTCAGCGCGGTCTGCCGCAAGGAGCGTGTTCTTATTGGCAGGCTCATTGCTCTATATACCCACATTGCCATGGTGATGTAATATAATACTATCTTTTATACGTTCCATCTTTCTCCCGTAACATGCTTTTCTGTCCTGCTATATGCGTGATAGCCGAGACCATTGTCGCGGATGATCCCAATCCATGCAATCGAACCGATCAAATTCCTCAGGATCAAAGTCAGGATGATAAATATCCTTAGCAGGAGGCTGGAAATTCGGATCTTGACCCTCAAGATACGGTCCGCGAGCGTTCCACCAATCGCAAGGTATCTCGCACTTGCATATCGGTGGCCTGTACGAGTCGTTAGTAAAGTGAACACCCTTCCGTGATGTGTAGTACTGACAGTCTTTGCCACGGCGTAGCCTGTATCCGTGCGATCGATTCGGCCTTGGAATCTCTGAGTTTGTCTTGAGTGGTAAGAGCAAAGTTCCATTCCCACATCATTCGTATCCGCCTCTTGACATGGCCAGAAAAGGTGACTCGGGGTATATGTCTGATGTCCGCCCAGGCCAGTGTGAAGAACCAGTGAACGAAGACTTTCTGACACGAGACTACTTTCGTACCCCTAGCCCCTGCGATGTGAACCCAAGGGTCCAATGAAGCCCAAATTCTGCCAGGACCAATTCGTTTGGGCGGACGGGTGGTGAAGTGGAGATGCAGGTGGAACAACGTTGGTATCTCGCGCAGTTGTGCTATTCCAGGCGTATTGTCGTTGTCCAGCTCGACGAAACCTCGATGGAGTTCAGATTTTAGGCCGAGGAAGCGGAAGTAATCCGACGTGGAAAGGTTGAGCTCGATACGACGCATAGCATGGTAGGGGATGAAGATATGTGGCCAAGTGGGACATATGGAAGGGTGATGATAGCCGTTGAGCAATGCTGTCGTTCGCTCCCATGTGGCCTTTTTGACTTCGTAGCACATTTGCTGACATGTGAGAGCAAGCATGTTCGGCTGAATCTGGTATTCGCTTTCGCCAACACTCACTTTCCCAAATCGATGTATGTCTACGCAGCGGCGCTTGGGGCGGGACAATCTGACATGCTGGTTTCCTTCGGAGTCACCCTTGCTGAGTGATAGACATATGTAGGGGCCGATGACTTGGTCGTATACGAGGTCTCGGAGTTCTTCGGGAAGGTCAAGGAACTGGAAAGCTCGGCCGTTGGACTTCCACCAGTCGGCCATTGTAAGAGGAATCGGTTCAAGCGTCTCGAGATCTTCGGCCATCCAAGTGAGGAATGGTAAGCTTCCGGGGTGCACACCGATTTCGAGAGCGAAGTCGTGAGTACGTCTTGGATCGTCTGCGGACTCTGACTCGTGGCGGCCAGCGTTTTTCCTGGAAGGGCCCTCCAGATGGTGGTCTGTAAGGTCAAATTTGCAGTACGAAGATATGTCCTGCTCTAACAGGTTCAAACATTTGTCGACGTCAGCCGTCTTTCTCCAGAATTCGAAGTGTGTGCGGTGCCGGTGACAGATGTACGCTGCCACTGCCTGCTTTAGAGACTCTTGCTTTGAATCGTCAGGTTCATCTTCCAGATGAGAGGCAATCCCATAGCGTCGAGTCAACCATTCTTGCAACGTGAACCACTCTTCTTGATTGGTCTGTGGGTGTGGTCTTTGCTCCGCGAGCAGTGTAGACTTCAAAGACTGGCTTTGTACACCTAGGAATGTATCCTCTGCCCCAGGTTGAATAAGTCGTATGGGAGTCGATGATGGCGTGGAAGCTATTGAGCGCTCGACTCGCAATCCTATCGAGTTCACCTTGAATCTTAGACTCTTTTGTTGCTGGTCCTTGATGTACGTTTCAATCTCGGTAATAGTGTCGGTCTAGACTCGCTGTCAGCATAGCCATTTTTACGCATGATCCTCAAGCTAGCTTACGATCAGAGTGCGCAAAAGTCTTCGTTCCCTCATCGCAGCGATCTGCGCGGCTCTGGATTTGCGCGGAAGTTTAGGAGCCATTGCGGCTTTGTTCGGCGGATTGTACGAGTATCGGTGTAGTTGTCAAAAAGCTGGTACCGAAAGTAAGGCAGGTGGGGGCCGTGCTCCGCGGATGAGTACCAATGGGTGTCAGTAAAGTGTTAGTTCTGCATATCCAACGAAACAAAGACAGACGTGGGTTCAGTGCGACCGTGCACGGGTTACCCAGGGCGATGAAAGTTCGAAATCAAATGTAGTTGCGGCGCGCTTGAGACCAAATACGCCAGTATTTCATTGCGTGGTTGTTGGGTACCGAGAACGAGGTTCCGCAAACGAGGCGGGACCTAGTGCCCAAACCTCAGTGTCGTCCAGTTTGCTGCTTGTTGGATGATGGCAAGCAGGCCCGACATTCCTGGGGACATACCCGTCGATCTCCTCTTCAGTCTTCAGGCTCGGTCTCGCTATCAGGCGCAGGAGAGAGCGACGAACCCGAGCCAAAAGACAGCAGTGCGGATTCCTTCACTCTCGTCGACTGCGGAGTTTTACCGTGAGCCATCTCCAATACCTCAAGCAATCCCAAAAGCCTGTCCGAACTTTCCTGCAGCAGCTTTTTTGCTTGCTCTTCCTCTTCAGCATTACCTCTCTTGCCTTTACCCGTACCATATACACTACGTCGCGCTTGGATACCAGCCTCCATAGCCTTGCGAAGAGCTGGATTAGGGGCAAGAGCATTGTTCTTCATCATGTGCATGAACAACTGTTCCAGTATGATTGAGATCTTGGTGTTTGCTGCAAAGCTTTGTGTTGTTCCCTTGAGTGGAAGAAGTGTCTTTTCGAAATCCTGTTGAGTAGGGTCTCGGACAAAGAAGCTCGGTGGTTTGCTGGCTATCATACCATGTAGAAGGTTCGCGGTGAAGGCGACTCGAATGTCGTCGGGTAGCTTCATCGTAGACAAAAGCACCTGAAAGGTCATGGTCGGGACCTGACTGAACTCTTCCAAGATGTTGTCGCAGAGGTCATATATCCGGGTGAAGAGTTCCGGTAGCTCTACGGCCACTTCGGCGAGCTGTCTGTTGTTAGTTATCGGAACGTTGAACCCAGAAAGTACCTACGAGTGCTATGAGACGCTGCCGCAGCTCGATCGCGTCCTGTCCACCAAGGCGCTCTATCGCGTCGTGTACGTTTCTAATCCCTTTATCGCTGGTTTCCGAAGACGTGTCGTCGCCACTCTCATCCCCGCCGTTGTCCGATGCGTCCTGCATGTCTTCATCGCTACCGTAATCGGCCAACTCCCCCGTCTCGAAGTCAACCTCACCAACTGGCTGGTCCTCATTTCTTTTCCGTCTCGGCTCTGCTGTCTCCCTCTCCCAGACTTCCGGGTAGTCTTTGAGCGAGTCGGGTGTCGCTGTTGCAAGTACAGCCCTGATGATGCGGCGCCTCTTTGCGCGATTCATTGTTGTCTCGTCGCCCGCTATGTAGTGCCAGAGGAGACTCTGCTGGAGGGTTGTCTCGTCGCTCGCTCCTTCCTGGTTGCTTTGCTTGACACAGACATCCCAATCAGCTTCGAGGAAGTCGAGCATGACAGTTAGCCACAGTTTCCATCGATTCCACCGTTTCTTGTGCTTTGTCGCGCAGTTGAACGCCCACCCCACAGCATGCCAGAAGTCGTCTGCGCGATACCACAGGCTCTTCTCGTTAGCAGCCTCGCCAGCTATCCGCTTGATGTCGCTGCTTAGCTGGGGTGATAAGCTTGCACTAGCTCTGTAGCTGGGGGCGCTCCTTCTATTGCGTTCTCTTGGGAACATAAACGCTTTCCTTATAGTCGGGTATGCGGGGTCGTCTATCGTCGTGTGCACGCATTGCAGGTATCGCAGCGCGGCATTGGAGCCTTTGGCGGCGTCTCGTGATTGCGCTTTGGTGGTGAATCTGGGGTCGGCGGCCATGGAAGAGGCGAAGGCGATGTATGCCGGCGGTGCGAGAAAGCCTATGTATGGCTGCGCGGGTCTCGATATGCTCGTGCCCGCAGCGAGGAGGCTGTAGAGGAAGTCATAGCCGCTGGCATCTGCCGTCAGTGTAAGCTTGATAATTCGTGGCTAGCGGTGTCGCATACATTGGCCGCCCTCGAGGTAGGCTTTGGCATGGTTGGTGAGCTCGTAAGACGCTTGGTTGGTTGGCCGGCGTTGCTTGTGGCGTGGTCGTGCGCTTACAGCTTCGAGCGCAGCGGATCGCGCATGTCCATTCGTATGTGCGGAAGGGTTCGACGTCTTGGAGCTAGAAGCTGGTGTTGCGAGTTTCGCCATGAACGCGATAGTTGTGCTGAGGTGCTAGTGTGGGGGAGTTGCTGCAAGGTCAGACGCGCCCGCGTCAAAGCGCGCTTTCACGTGGCAGGCGATGGCATCACTACATGGCCTTAGCGTCCGGCTTTGCGTAGACTCAAGTGTTACAACAGATGTGAACATGCAAAAAAGAGCTGCAGGTTACTCACACACTATACGCAGTGTAGCATCTTGAGTTTTGAGCTGCGGGCAAAAAGAAGATGTTGGCAAAAAGAACGAATTTGAATCACCTGTGCAGCTGGCATCAGCGTCCATCTCGAGCTGCGGAAGGCCCAGGTTCAAGCTTCACAACACATCTCAACATGTAACCAAAATACTACAATGGAAGGGAACATTGCCAGCGTTAATCTATGAGGTGGGCAAGAAGAGAAAGACAAACATAATGGCAAAAAGATCGTTTTCTTCCGGTACCGGGAATCGAACCCGGCTCTCGTCGGAAGCTGACACAATTGACTCATGAAAGCGACGGATGCTAGCCGATACACCATACCGGACTTTGATGAAAAGATACCAAAACCTATCGTTTATAACTGCACAAAAAATTGGCAGGGGAGTCACGAACAACCAATTCCAACGGGGCTATGTGCCCACTCACAGACAGGTTCACCTTGGCATGCGCTAGATGCACTAGCAAGCTAATGTCCTAGTGTCTTAGGGGTAGGTCGACAAACACCGTCGCCGACTGGCATACAACCATTAATTATGCCACAAGAGACAGTCAGATCAGACAGTCCTTTAGGTGGAGTTCCGTACATGGCACACAATACGAGCAACATGTTGCGCAGTCTTCCTTCGGCTGACTCTAACGATTGTCGGTTGAAGTGGCGTTCGCCGGAGGCTCGGTGCCTGCAGGTTTCGTCGGAGGGCTTAGCAAACTTCAGCGTTCCGCCCGCGATTAGAACCCAGCATCACCATCAGATGTCGCAATTATTCGTTGCGGGGTCGCGCACCACAACGCATCCAAGAGTTCCTAAAGTTTTGGGAACCTTTGCTGACGTCGATCGAAGATTTGAACGCTTCGTTTTCATCATGAATCTCGTCACAGATCACATGTATACAGTTACAAACACCAGCTATTCGAATGCATTTGCATAACTCATATCAGTTCAATGGCTAGACTCGTTTTGTGATGCGGTCGTTCCGCAAACTATAGTGTCGAAAACATAGATAGCGATAAACAGATTGGACGGGATAGGGCCCAGAGAGTGATAACATCCGCGTTGCCTGTTTCTTCCTTTGCCGAGTACATCCCGATAACCCCTGCTCAACATCAACGACTGAGACAATACTTTCGAGTAGTCTTGTAACGTGCTACGAGGTATGCGACACTTCATTGCTTAGTTGATAGCGATAGAGTACGCCGTCGTAGTCAACTTCGCGTTGCTTCCAGTAAACACCTCCGTGCCCGCCTGCACGACCTGCAGATACAAACTACTCGTGAAACCATTGCTTCCGTAGTTTGCCAACAAGTACTGGAAGAACAGGTTCTGTATCGACAGATTAGCTTCCCTATCATCTCCACAAAATAGACTCATGTAACGTACCAAGTCGGCGCTGAAGTTTGTCGCCCGACCGCCACGAGCAACAAAACTGTATACCTTGACCGAACCGTTGAGACCGTATGCGAGGTCGAAGATCTGACCACCAATAGTAACGGTCGCGATGGGTGTGAAGGGATATCCGTTCGCGGACAAGGGTGATACGCCGCCGTAGACACCAAGCCAGACCATGACTTCGAAGAGGTTGGTTCCGCTGGCTGATGCGCCGAGGAAGGTATCGTACGCCACTGCAGGATAGCACATCAACATTCGCCTACAGACTCTGACAATGAAGAGAGGGCATGAGAAAAGGCGTGAGAAGCATACCATTAACTCGCAGATCCGTTCCGGTATAACTCCACTTCCATGTCGTTGGCATACTCGTATACGTGCCAATCTGCTTCTTGGTGAACCCAGTTTCGACATTCGTGTAGCTCTTGACTTGGTTGGGCGTGCCAGACCATGACCATGTTGTTGACCAGGCTAGCCCAGCTGTGCTGCTGTAGCTATCAATTTGAGAGCATTGAGAGCCCGTTCCGGATGAGAAGCCCCAGCCATTGGTATAGAGCGTGTATGGGCCGGATGACTGAGATTGGTATTGGCCACACTGAGCGGCGCGGGGTAGGAGGGTAGTGGGTGCCGCGAGCGAGGTTGAAGAGAGGAGAAGAAGAGCGACAGTGGAGAACAACATGCTGAGCGATGGATGTGAGTCGGAGCTGTGGTGAGTTGTTAATGGATGGGGTGGATATGAAGCAGATGCGGGTGCCTTATGTACCTTTCTAGGTGCTCTGATCGTCCATCTCCTACGACATCGCCTCCACATCCTACGAGCAACCATTCCTCTTCGCAACAACTTGTCAAATTTGGATGCTCCGCTCTTCCGTTTACCTGCCTTCTACTAGTCGTTCTCGCGTATGACGCACAAGCCGACATCGCAGACACGCATAGATCTTTCCATGAGCCAGCAACCAACCATACTCATCAAAGCTTCCCTGACTCTCGCTGAAGTCCGCAAGCCACCGAATGATCATATGCCCACCGGATACCATCTTTCCATCGAAGAGGAAGTTCTGAAAGCCAGTGTAAGCCATACTGATGCACGACATCAGCCGGTCCAATCATCCGCAGTCAGGGTCCACCAATATAGCTCGCATGCTGCACGCACGGGACGAACCACGATTCGAGGATCGAGACCGGACTTGAATAACCTGGTTTTGGGAATGGAAGGTATACGGGTGCGGCCCGAAAGACCAATAGATGCCATGCAAAGAAAGGCCAAGAAGTATGCGTGCATCGGTGGCGTGAGCGTTGTACACTACTTTGAGTACTAGTTTCCGGGGGGACCTATCAAGTCGTGAAATTGAAGGAGAGGATGGAAGAAGCGTACTAGCGCTGCTGAGAAATGGGTGAGGGATGAGGCTTTAGCTTCGTCTTTGACATCGCAAGCGCGATGGAGCTAAAGTGATGACCGCGTTCTACAACAACAACGCGGAGAAGGACGTTTGAACTAGAGAGGTGCTCAGCCCGCTCAAGCCCTGTGATGAACGGATACTCGCCACCCATACGCCAATCGTCTGAAGCAGCATCTCCTCTTCCTCATGGCTTTGGCCACATTCCTAAGAGATCAACGCGGCGCGGAAGGGTCTCGTGGACAGATCGAACCACCTCGAAGAAGGCGATTTAGTCCCAACTCGTATCGAAACGATCAGGACGTAAGCCACCATGCATGCACTCAAACCGAACCCCGTTATCTAGCTCTTTCGCACGCTGGGCAGCAACAGTCATGTTCATCGCCTTCCATGTTTCCCGACGCTGCAAGTCAGAGCTTGTTGACCCGCAGCGCGTATCAATCCAGAATAGCACATACCACTGTCGCGCAAGCGAAGGGAGCGATCGATGTACCTGCTCTCGAGTACTGTGCTTTGTATATCCGGTTCAGCCACTGGAGTAGACGAGCGGAGGACGCGTCAAAAGTCTTGCGGAGGTGTTCGGGTCGGGGCCGCGGCTGCTCAGTCAACACGTGATCAGTTCTGCAGGCTAACCATCTAGAGGCTAGATCATGACGTAGCTCATCACCATCCAATCCAAGGATAATCTGCGGTTCAAACAACAGCTGCCCGCAACAACGCACGCAACACCTGCGAAACCCAGGAATCATACAGTCACAGGGGTGGCAATGCGATGGGTATCTGTGCTTTGTACATGCTCATTGGTGCTATCTCTCTACTAATGAGCTGCGCCTCATCCCCAACTTCACATCGGTATGCGGCAACCCTATGTTCAATCCAACTCGCCTCAGTCCTCGAAATCCCAATACGCCTTATCCAGCTCCGCCTGTATGCCGTCGATCAATCTCATTTCGTGCGGCTGAACCCGGAATAAGCGTGGCCCGCCTACACATGGGTTGGAGCATTCGCATGCCAGCGAGGTAGCTAAATGTCAGTCAATATATATCCCAGATGCCTATATAGGGCTACTTACTGTTCGTTATGGCGATCTGAAGGTCCTGTTCGAGAATACGTATACCGGCAGTATGGTCATTGCGCTTGTCGTTCAGTAGCCCAGTCCAGTAATTCCGGGTAGAATCTTTGATGCAACCGCTCATGGTATACTTGATTCCTTTTGTATTCCGGAGAGTGACTAGATCATTCCAGGCCGTGATAAAAAAGATGTCAATCCACTTCTTTTGGCATGGATGAAGGGGCTTCCAAGGGCAGTTGGCAAGCTCATGTTCGGGACCAATGAAACGGAAATCGATGGTATCGAGGTTTCTCAACCGGGCCATGGAAGTGACATTGATTGGAACAACGCCCCTCGCAAGCGGCTGTCCAAGTTGAGGACAAATGCCCCCGAACGCCAAGAACTCAGTCGCAGCCATCTCGAGTTGAAGCCTCTTCAGGAAGTTATCAGGCGTTGGTAATTGCCCGAGTTTGCGCCAGATCTCTTTAGGTGGCGTGGCGGGCCCAATTCCATCCCCACGCGTACGAATCGTTGTGAATCGCTTTACAGTATCGCGGTTGGCAACGTGAGTGGCTTCCACCTTTACCTGGCGACTGACGCGCATGATCTCCATATTTGGGCGCTGTATATTGGGGTCTCGGTTGCGCCCCACGCGATCGGGATTGTCGTACGACAGCCCGTATCCAAGCACAAGCTTCTCAGCGCCACCTTGTGTAACAATATCCGGAACAACGACTGGCCCGATGACGTGTAAGTAGATGGCTTCGCGCATCTCCAGAGGTAAGTCCAGCAGCCGGAAAGCTTGCCCAGTACCTTCCCACCACAAGCGCTGCTCCTCGTACTGAGGTTCCGGGAGCCTCATCGCCCACATATCGTCTTCGGCAGTGCAGTATGTATCGCGAATCCAGGCCGCTGCTTTACGCCGTGTCTTTTTGATTTTACCGAACTCGGTAATGGTGAGATCTTCGACTGCCACACTGCTGCCGGATGGCACATCGATCACGACAGTGCGGGCGAAGCCGTCGGACCTCAGCGGCTCGGTGAAGGTAAACCAGTTGTTGTAGGCAGTCGTATCGTGCCTGGCGCTATCACACACCACTTTAACATCGTCGGCATCCGCCTGTGATACTACGAGTAGCTCGTTTTGATGTTTGTGATAGTGGCTATGTTGTGACAGGAATGAGAAGTTCGTCCTGCGCTCTTCCTGTATGAACGCATGAAGAGCGTTGATGATGTTAATGCGTTCATTATCCACGAGCCGTCGACGGCGGGAGGAGTGCTGTTGCGGTTCCGATGTATCGCTTGCGCTCTCCCATTCGCTGTCGCCGTCTCGCTTCCGTTTCGGCATGATATCGGCGGTGAAAGCGGTTTCGTGTGAGATTGAGAGGTTGGATCCAAGTCGAAGCGTAGTGAGTGCATGTGTAGCATCGTCCATGGTAGGGAACCTCAGTTGCGACCGTGATTGTGTGTAAAAATGCTGTTGCGCGTTCTGATAGTGAGAGGTTCCCAGGTATACGTACCAAGTTCATCATCTGAGCAGCGCCTGCGTCATCAGCCACACTAGTCCGTGTTTGTACTAGTGCGCAAACACCCGTGAAAGTGACTTCTGGAAGGCGTTGCTGTATACATGGATACAGAAGCTAAAATTAACCAAAGCTGAAAGCAATGTAGACTTGTAGCAGTCAAACTTTCAACTTATCCTTGTATGGGCTGCCGGCGCGCGGCAGGCGAAGCTCACACATCCTAGGTTTATGAAGGGCAAACACTGTGAACATTACAGAAGATAATAGAATATCTGAAATGTGATTGACATCGCTATGCTGATGCTAGACTCATAAGTCGTAATAAGCGAAGCGCCTATAGAAGGGCTTCTTGGTATACATACATGTTCACATCACCCCACAACTACGCGTAAGACTGAGCAGAGCATGTGAAGGGACTCCTCACAGCGCCAGAGTTGTACTGTGTGATGATATCCTCGACGGACGCGTAGGTACCGGCACCAAGAACAACAAGTCCAATGACGAAGACGATAGAGTTCAGGATGCTCAAGGAGATGTTCTTGGCGTTTGCGTTCCACTTGCCCTCCTTGACGAGCTGGAACCAGAAGAGCGCGGGCCAGTAGAATGTGAATCCGGAGATGAAGAGGGAGGAGATGAGACCGAGGAGGGCGTTGAAGAAGGGAATGGCCTCGGCGATGATCCATCCGATGACGGTGACAACGGTGATGAGTCCGACCCAGACACCCCAGCCCTTGACGTCCTTGACGAAGCGGATGGGCGAGGTGGGAAAGATGCGGTCCATGATGTAGCGGCAGACGACGGTGCCGTTGATGGATCCGGAGATGAAGATGACGGGGAGCGCGATACCGAAGGCAACGCGGGAGACGGTGTTACCGGCGGAGAGAAGAGCGGGCGACTTGACGTCCTGACCGACGAAGGCGTAGATGAGAGCACCAGTCATGGTGTAGATGAAGATCTCAATCAGACCGAGGGCCCAGATGGACTTGACGTAGTCCTTGGGGGTGTGCATCTCAGACATGAAGGAGAACTGGCAGACGGCGAAGGAGTAGGCGAAGATGATGTTGGTGGTCGCCAGGAAAGCCTCGTAGAACGAAGTTCCGGGTTGGGGCCACGCGGACCAGTTGACTGCGCTCAATCCACCAGGAGCGTCGTGGGCTTGGATACCAGTCGCGATGATGGTGATCAAGATGGCGGCGATGATACTAACAAAGTCGATGTAGCCGAGGAAAGCGAAGTCGTGGAAAGTAGGTGGCAGAGCAAGAACCAACAGAATAATCATGGATACAACACCCCATACGAGCGCGCAGGTGGTGTAGTTTCCGATGATGTTGATGAAGGCAATCGTTCCGGTAAGCGCGTGCGATCCAACCAGCAGGATGAGGAAGAGTGCGAACATGACACCAGTGAGTTCCTTTCCGAATTTGCCCCAGATGATCTCGACGGCGTCCGAGTAGTGGTTGACGTGCGGGTAGCGCATCTTGACCTGACCGACAACGTAGGACGTGTAGATTGCGACGAGACCAAGACCAACGCACATGATGACACCGGGGACCATTCCGAGGGTAGCGAACGCGCTAGGAATACTGAGAGAACCAAGCGCGATGGCTTCGACAATCAGGCAGACTGTGAGTTGCTTCCAGCCGAGACGGTGGAACTTCTCTGATCCCTCCTGGACGGTGGCGGTCTTGTCGACGGGCATCATGAGCTCGGGGTCGCTCTTCTTGCCCTCAGACGAAAGGTCGTCCAGACGGTAGGTCGGCGGTGCGGCAGCGTAGTGCCGCGCAGGAACGCCAGTGTTGACGCCGTTGGAGGCGTATTGTGGCTCAGGGTTGCCCGTCGTGAGCCCGTTGGCGTGCGGTACTTCCTGCATCTTGGAAAATCCAAATAAGAATTTTTCAAAAATAACGGTGGGGTGGAGTCGTAGTCAAGTCGGAAGCTGGAGGGCACTCGCGACTTTTTGGTGTTTGGCGCCTGCTGACGAGCTAGTTTGCCCGGTACCCCAAAAGTAGCAGTAGCAGTGTAGGTCACAGGTCCAGTCGTCGGAATCGGGAAGACGGCGGCGCGTGATATCGACTGTCTGTGACGTACCGTGGGACCGGTGAGAAGGTAGTGTGAGTTAGCAGCGGCACGCAAGAATAACCGTTTTCAAGGCCAGCGGCTGCTCTTGTTTCTTATATCAAGACGCCTTATCTCTCCGCATGTTCTGCATGTGTAATAGAATGTTCCAAGCGGCCTTCCCCCGCGCGCTCCCAGCATGCTGGGCGACCGATGTTGACCGAAAGCTGGCTATCGAGGGTCTTAGCGAACTTCGGTCTATTGCTCGCATCGTACCAGAGCTTGGTGCGTGCAGCCAGCAGCGTTGGCCTTTAGTGGCGTCGTTAATGACGCGGTCCACATGGCGCGTCGCAGTTGACGTAAAATTTTCTCTTTTTTACGTGTTTGAGTGGTGATTTTGGGGACGTGCTTGAGGTGACATCGCCTGGATCCGTGCTAGGTGACATCACAGCGAACCATGCATGCTGTTCTGGAGATAAGAGAGCGCGGTGCTCACGCGACAACCTGTACGCTGGGGATAAGCGTCTGCACTGGGTGGTGACGACGACGGCGGCGTCGCGTAGGGCTGGCTCTGGCTGCATGGGGGCGGCGACAAGCCTTTAGGGCCGCGCCATCCCGGGCCTCGGCGGGGCTTGATAGATTAACCGAACAGGTACCGGGGCGCAAAACTCTGACTAAGGCTGCTCCGATGCCTCCCGTCAACTACTCCCAGCGCGGTAATGCACGACGCACCCCTCGGTGATTTGGTCTGGCCGCACTGCAGCTTGGCTGCTCGAAGGGTCATAGCAGGCGCGGCGTGACCGTGGCTTATCTCTGATCCAGGGTTTTGTGGAGTGCATTGCCGAACTTTGCGCCGCCCAATGATATGGGGGATGAATGTGATTGCTTGGACATGGCTACCGTCTACCCCAGGATCCCAAAAGCCTCAGGGGGCACCGCGCGCCGTGGGATGTTGCGCCATCATGGCGCGCTTGCCGAACAGCCGTGGTACTCCAGATTGGGAGCGAGGGGAGAATCCGTCGATCAAAGGGCGCAAATGCACTCGGGCAAGTTACTACAGTAAACACATCGGGTATTGGCTACTCGTGGACCCTCCGGCTCTTGGACAACGGACGGAACGGCATGCCACAGCCGTTGTCGGAAGCTATCTGAGGCCGCGGCCTTTGTACACTACTACTCAACTACGCCGCCGTCTTGAGAAACTCATCCACTACATGCGGGTCCTTCTCGACTTCTTGGGCACCTCTGCTTCGCCTGCTCTCCCAAGTTTCACCCACGTGGGCGTCTTCCGCCGTCGACTCGGGTGTAAAGGTAAACACGCGATGCTCACCTATAATAGAGTTAGCTCATACTGCAGACTAAATATAGAGGTATACCGACAATTCTTCCACGCGGTGCCCACCATGGGGTCTTCGACTTCCCAGTCCTCGGTGAGGAAGTGTGCAAATGCGCCATGGGTGACGACCAGGACCTGTTTCATTAGCAAACCGCTATTAAGAGGAACTACCGGCAACTCTACCTGCGCTTCGGGCCTTTGGTAAAGCCAGTTCCTGAGATCAGAAGCGCGCTTCGAGATGGCGCGCTTCTCGTAGGCCCAATAGTCTTCCTGCGAGGCGTTAGTAAGCATGCATGCTGATGTCAAACCGGGAGATCGACTAACCTTGGAGTTCCAGCCCGCTGTCACCGCTGATGCATCAACTTTGCTGATGTCAAAGTCAAGCTCACCCTCTGCGAACAGCTTCGGTAGGAATGCGTGCACATCATCTGCAGTATCCGCAATTCCGACATCACATCCAATGTCGCTGACCTCTTGCAAGGCTGGCAACAGCACGAACGGCACCTCTTTCCGCGCGAGCACGGGGCCAAAACTCAGCGACGCGGTCTGGATCGTTCGGCGTAGCGGCGACGCAAATACTACGTCTATTTCCTCATGATGTTGGAATGCCGAGCTAAGCGTGCGACATTGTTCTTTGCCCTTTTCTGTCAGCACAGCATCGCGAATGCTGTAATTGCGCTGTGGCCAGTTAGTCTTCTTGGTTTCGAGGTTCTTCTTCTTATTTTGGGACATACGGTCGCGTTGTGTTCTCCTTGCGCATGGCGTACGATATGAATCTTGGGAGACATCGTGGTGTTGGTTGAGAGTTGCTGAATCTGCATTCCACGCTCGATGGTGGGGCTTGCCGAAGGAGCCACTAATGTGCTATCGTACAGTGGCGAATCTGAGATTGATGCGTGAGAACCTAGTCTCACTGGAGTTCCTCAGTTGCTTACGGTGTTTGATTTCAGCAACGACTACAGTTTTGATTCTTGCCTTGTGCTGCGTAATGACTCTCCCTGGTGTCCGTACTGTTATACAAAGCTATTTCGGATCTGGCAGGGAAGGTTAGCCGAGGCGGCCAGCGCTAACCATTCCAGGAAATGCATCTCGCAAACAGCCTCTACGGTGGAAGAACAGGTGTAAGACTGTGAATCCATCGCCGGAAGTGAATACGCAGAACTGAAATCGAGGAAGGTCTCCAGGATGAGTGCTTAAAATCTTCGACACGTCGCCGATGATGCATCCGGCCAGTCCAGGTATGCGGTCAGCCCGTGGCTTACTCCATATGTCTTGCCATCACCAGCTCTTTCTCTCTGATTATGTCTTCGCAACGAATGCGTGTCCTCGGAAGTAACTTTTTGTGGATCGCAAGGAGCTGTTGCTGAGTCAATGGTGCTATACATGCAACAGAGCGCTGCTTGCAAAGTATGGAGCAACGTTGACCAACAATACCGCCAATAACGTGTCGCGCACGTAGAGCAGGAGCCTTTTCGTGTTGCATTGCTGGTATCGAGACGCGCGACATGTGAGGCCACTCTGATATCAAGTGATGGCTGGTGTGTGGTAGGAAGTGAGCTGTATGTTTCGGAAAGAGCGATGACGACCCCGACCTCTGATTAGCGACTTCCCACGAAAGATCTACCACAGACTTCAACCATCCCTCTCCCCGCCGTCACCGTCGCAATGCCACATCTCAGCGCGACGTGTTTCCTTGATACTGATCCTGGTCACAGTACTTTGTGTCGAAGCGACATGATCGACGCGACCTTCGAATCAAAGGCCCAAATTGTTCTTCGCAAAGATTACCCCTGCGCCCACTGCGATTCTTGTCGCTCAAAGCATGAACGCTTTTCACGTTAAGCCAGGAGCAAGATTCGCGCATCGCACATCGGCCGCGACTATTCTCGAGTCCCAGATCACCAAATGAGCTGGAACTGCCCATCGGGCTCTCCGGCTTGTAGAGCGCCATCTGCCTAAGCGGCGCAGAGACAGTCTTTGGGTAAGACGCGTGCGCCCGCTGTTCGGCAAAACGATCTGGCATACGACCACGCCTCCATCGTCTACGGGAATACTGGTCCGGTAGCGCACTGTACATTATGTGTACAGCTGAGCACGAATTGTTGTGTTGATACGTCATGTTCAGAACGCGTTGTACCTGGGCATCTTGAGTTCCTTCCCGATCGCGCGAGCCAATGCACGTTTTCGGGCAAGCTGAGGCATCGGATCCGCAAAAGACCCCGCAGTGCTAGCGCAAGCAGTCTCATCTACCATCCAGGAAGCCTCACCATTATCCTGGACATCATTGAGAGCTTTACGACTTTTGATCACTATTCGTTCAATATGGCAAGCAGCGAGCCTACAGTACTTATCATAGGTGCTGGTACTTTTGGCGCGTCTACGGCCTATCATTTGGGCAAACAATACAAAGATCCATCGCGAATTACCATCGTCGACCGTTGGGATAGCAATACATCCCTGAAGCAAAAGCAAGCAGCAGCCATCGATACCAATCGCATTATCCGTACCGACTACGAGTCACACCTTTACTGCAATCTTGCCAATGAAGCCATTCATTTTTGGTTCTGGAGCATAGCAGTACAGGGGCATTTCCACAAGACCGGTTGGGTCGTGCTAGACAAGAAAGATGGTACTTTTGGTGATGCGATAAGGAAAACGTTCGTTGAGAGAGGGGGTGACTACACGCGCGATCTAGAACCACAAGAGCTGGACAAGTACGCCGTGACGAAAGGCATCAAGGCTGAAGAATATGGGAAGGGCTACTTCAATCGCGAAGCCGGCTGGTGCGACGCAGAAAGAGCAACGCAAAGCTTCACGAAGGTTGCACTGGAGCTAGGGGTCAAGAGGGTGACCGGAGACGTGCAAGAGTTATTATTGAGTTCCGACCAACGTCGCCTGGCAGGCGTCAAGCTGAGGGATGGTCAAATTTTAAAAGCCGACAAGATCGTGTTGGCAGCAGGAGCATGGACCAGCTCCCTGATGTCACCGATCGAGGATGCTTTGAAGATCCAGGAACAGGACCGCATCGAGCGCCAGATGACCGCTGTAGGACGGGTTTCTGCTTACTATACACTCAACGAACAAGACACTCAGAGTATGATCGACGAAACAGTACCTGTGATTGTCATTGGTGGAGAGGTCGACATTATTCCGCCCTCGCAACCGAATCGAACGCTGAAGATCAACGACATCAAGACAGAAGTTATCAACACGGTTACCACTCCTTCTGGACACAAAATCACAATGCCATCGCGAAGGAACCAGAACGACGTGCCTGAGAGACTGAAGCGTGAAAGCGCACAGATCATGCACGGTGCTATGCCGGAATGGACACGAAGCAAACAACCAGACCGATGGCGAATATGTTATGATGCCGTTACACCAACTGAAGACTGGCTGATGTGTCGGCATCCTCATGAAAAGCTCGCCAACTTGTACCTCGCCGTTGGCGGCAGTTTCCACTCGTACAAGTAAGTGACTTTAGCCTTCATCTCAGAATTACAATGCTAATCATCCTCTCAGATTCCTCCCCGTCGCCGGCGCATATATGTGCAACGTACTAAGTGGTAAGGGCAACGGTGAGGAGAAAGACACGGCCTGGAGGTGGAAGAGCGCCGAAGAACTGTCATGTCGCAAGGGTAAGGAGTTTGGTGAAAGTCCAAGGGACTGCGACAAGAAAGAGTTGAGTGAATATGAGGAGGGCGCAGCATCGAAGTTATGATCGTTAAGAAGCATTCACAATCAAGTTCGCTCGGCATCATACTTCGCAAATTGACTGAGGCTTTATGAACTCCACGCTAAATGATCTTATGCATTCGTCATCATTAACGATAAAGATTGAGTCCTTGGTCTCTTGATCTATCCCGTTCATACGAGGGTTGTATCATTCTGGTAACACTGGCGAAGCGGTGTCGTGAGTGGCTCGCCATATTTGCCATTCCTCAAACGCCCGCTTGCTTCACTCGGGCTCCATTTGCCTTCGAAGGACAAGCAACTACCATTTGAATGTTAATATAATGAAGCCTGGGTCGCTTCGATGCGGATCGCAGCCTTTCTTATTGTCATTAGTGAAAGAAGAACGAAGGTCGCCTCCGTGGCGCGATCTGGTATATAGCTTTTAAGGCGCATATATACGCAGCTACGCTACCATGGAAGTGTTCACACTGTCACTCAACAGCAGCGCAGTCACCCAACTCGCGGTCACACAAGATTGCACAGCGGCCGCCAACGCATCAGGCTCTCCTTCAATTTACGCTCCAAGCCATGTCTTCCACCGAGAATACTGTGGCTGGCAATGAGGACCGAGACAAGGAGACCAGCATCACCAAGCCCAACGAAGGCACGCGTGGAGGTTTACTCGACACCGATGACGATATCACCGTGGACGAAGAGCTTGCCGAGGATCAAGAAATGGAAGACAGCTACGTATTCGTCGAAGCTGACTATCACTCCTACAGCGATGTCGAATCTTCTGTCCCCGAAGGCTCGAGTTCTGACTGTGAGCTCTCAGAGCGTGAAGAAGAGGGCGATCCAGACCCCAAACATGAAGCTGACAGAATGGAAGAGCAGAACGGTGGTGTGAGGAAGGGATTTGTCAAGAAAACTGCGGACAAGACTTCCGCTGCTGAAGGTAGTGGCGGCAAGGATAATGGAGAAGACCTGCCAGATATCGTGAAGGTGAGTCAAAACTCAATAACCGCGCATCAAGTTGCTGATGAGAACAGATTGTGTTGTCACTACTCCTACGCTCAATCTACGGGACTAGTTTTGCAGGATTGAGCGGAAAATCGTTACGGAGAAAGCCCGATGTGCGAGACGAATAGCTACTAACCGAGTTCAGGAGGAGCGGGAGGCATGAGTAGGGCGTATTCTATCATGTTTTGTTTCTCGCTGGCTTCCTACAGTGGCGAGCACAGACGTAGGCACAACTTAACGTCATGGTCCAAAAGGGTAGTTCACGGAAGAGAAAGCTCAATCATATACTGCATATCGCATCGTCTTGGCATTGAATCGCGCCCCATGCACTGACCTACTTTCTGTCATGTACCAAAGTGATGGCCGGCCTAGAGAGAATCATAGCCCCTCTACCTCCCGTAGTAACCCAACTCCGCTGATACATACAGACTTTACAGACTTCTCACAACTAGGGTAACCATCATGCCGCTCCCAAGGAAACCTCACATGAACGACGATGTCAACAGCCAAGAAGACTTCACCCAGCTCGTCGACGGAAAGAAAGTCGTCGCCCTACCCAATGATACTCGGCCGAGGCACCCTGATGGCAGCTACGTGTTCGTTCGTGACGAGACTGCTAAAACCATCGAAGTAAGCATACAAGCGCCCTTCAAAGCTCAATCATGCATACTAAAGCTTCCGCGTAGGACAAAAGCGCACAAGACATCATCGCCTACTACGCCAAAATCCTCGCCATCGAAACAAAATCCAAACCCCATCCTAGCCTAACATCGAATGCAATCATCGACGGTCTGGATACCCTCCGCATCTGCTCCGAGATCTTCTCAAACAATCCTGCTAAGCCTTCTTTCGTCGCGGAATACTTGCACATGCTAGAGCCGCAGCACCAGCTCAGTCTTTCCATCGTTCTTTCCGTAATCCTCGATACAGACGACTGGATGAGTCTGGAGCGTGAGGTTGTAAGGGACGAGGAGTTCGAGATCTCAGTGGTCATTTGGGCGCTCAAGATTGGGCCAGGGGGTCTTATGCTGGGGAGGGTGGAGGGGAAAAGTGAGATGCAGATTTTGTTGGGGGCGGAGGAGGCGTGGATTGTAGTGCATGAGAACACGCCGGAGTATGAAGAGAAGAAGATGGAGCTTATGCGGGTTGCTGCGGAGGTGACGATGTGGGGGAGGGGCGTGGCGGGGATGTTTGCTAAGAAGGGTCGGACTGAAGACGATGACTAAAGGGTCGATGGGACTTCCAGGTCAGGGTACACATGTGGTTTCTGGCACTGGTGAATTTCGATATTTGGGCTTGATGTTTGCCTCAGTCGATGAAGCGTGTAGGATAAAGTTTTACCTTTGCTTGGAAGTCAGCTTGCGTTCAAACAATCGTTGTAGCTTGTAAGCAACAAAGATACCCACAGACATATATTTCCCGAGTACGCTTGCTGGCGTTCTTCCACTTTGGTCTGAATGGTAGTACATATGAGTGCCTGATCTGGTCATCTGCACACTGCGAGAGAGTGCGATGCACACATTCACCGTACCCTTCTCCTTCTGGAAGAACGCTCCAAGTCCACGGGCCTCTTCCAGACCCACTTGTTGAATGGCATTCCCGAGCTATGATCTCTCCCTCTTGTGCTATATAAACTGTCAGAATCACACCTCCGCGGCCTAATTTCGAACCATACCTCAACTTTATTCATAAAGTATAACACCAACCAACACACACTCGCGACGAATATGCCTTCTTCTGAAATTCCAGAGACTGCTGATAGCGTCAGTAGCAAGGGCCCTATGAATATGGCCGACGACGTTGAAGACACGGACGACTTCGTCCTCGTATCCCCTGGCGACTACCCAGAGGCATCCACACCATCCTCTACCGCTGCAAAAGATGTCTGGACCGAGATCATCAAGATCACCCGAACTGAAGATAGTCTCTTCGAGAAGGTCAGCACTACTCTCCTTTGCCGTTGAAGCCTTCCAACTGACACAATACAGGGCGAAAAGCACGTCACCGCTGTCGAGACCTGCCGGTACCACCTCCGCCCCTCCGAGTGTCGTAAGACCTGCGATAGCACGTTTAAGTGCGAAGCCTGCCTCTCACTGATCGCCGGTCTCGAGACTCTCGCTAACTGCGCCTGGGAGTGGTCCAACAAAAGCAAGCCGTTCCAGGATAACATAAGCAACATCATGCATTGTCTGCACCGCCTCCCCTTTCATTTCCAGGAAGGTCTCTACAGCGTCATTGAAGCTGCGATGGGAAACGAAAAGAACTGGCCGATGGCGGACCAAGAGAACTTCGAGCTTTGGGGGTTCAAGATCTCTGCTGCTTTATGGTTGCTACGCCTGGGTGTTCACGGTTTGGCGTGGGTATTGGAAGAGGGCAAGGAGTGGCGTCTTGTGCTGGCTGAGACGGAGCAGTCGTGGTATGAGGGGCTTGTTGTCGCTGACGAGTATGAGGAGGCCGTTGAGGAGACTAAGCGCTTTACCAAGGCCTTTCGCAAGTGGGGTGCGAGTGTTGATGCTGAGCGGCGCGCTCAGTCTTCGGCTTAGTTCGACGTGCCTCGGTGCATTTATGACGAACAATAAGCGGTCTTTGCTCACATTGTTGTAGAAGCCACGACTAGTAGCTTTCTGGTAGATTACAATGCTGCGCAATTACATCAACTTTCCATGAAGCTTAAACATAATGCACAATGCCATTGGATGGACTGGGTGATTTGACAAAATGTTCGATGTTTGATAATGGTGTGTTTTGATCCACTACGCACCTATGATGCCGTTTACTCCTTCACCTTGATGACAACCTTTCCAAAGTGACCTCCGCTGAAAAGGTACTTGATCGCTTGATCAGCCTCTTCGAACTTCCAAACACGGTCGACCACCGGCTTGATCTTCTTCTCGTCGTAGAACTTGAGCATTCTCTCAAGCTCAGTCCTAGGGCCGTTCATGATGCCCTTCAGTGTGACGTTCCTCTTCAAGCACAGCAAGTTCGTGTTCGTCCTGTCGCCAGCTTCGTCTTGCTTGCCAGATAGGTAACCAATGCAGGAGATCAGACCACCAAAGCGTACGCACTCGAATGACTTGCGGAGCGTTTGCGCACCACCGACTTCGATGATAATGTCAGCGCCTTCGTCGGAGGTAGCAGAAAGGACTGCGTTTTCCCAGTCGGGGGTGTTGCGGTAGTTGATGGTGGTCTTCGCACCAAGCTTGGATGCGCGCTGGAGCTTCTCGTCGGAGGAAGATGTGATGATGGCATCAGCGCCTGCTGCGGATGCAATCTGGGCTGCAGAGATGCTCACACCGCCGGTGCCCTGGCACAGGACTGTTTCGCCCGGTCCAATGATCTCGCCGTTTGGTCGCATGCAGTTCAAGCTCATCCAGGCGGTTACAGCTGCGATTGGCAAGCAAGCCGCTTCGTCATCGGATAGATAATCTGGAATCTTAACGACGCCATGCGTGGGGAAGACACGATACTGGGTCAGCACTCCGGGGGCAGGTCCTCCTAGACCACTCGCTATGTCTGAGGCCTTGATTTGACCGCTGAGATGCTTCGGCGCAAATGTACTAATGACCCGGTCGCCTTCTTTGAGCTGGAAAGCTGGGTTCTTGTAGGGGTCTGAAGTGTTGTTGGAGACTGGACCAACCGCAACAACCACACCGCACATGTCGCTGCACGGGACAATAGCGGGGGGGTGTTCTACGGACTTGTGGTGGTTGTAAAGACCCATGGCGACTGTCCACGTATTTAGCGTTGTTCAAATGGCCGTCTGGACCCTGCGACAAAAGTAGGTGTGACCACATCCCACTGTACGTACCTTCAGTATCCCTGTAGTTCAGACTCACGGAATGGACTTCAACCAACACCTCGTCTTCGCCAGGGGCCGGGCAATCCGCCTCGCCCATCCTGAGCTTATCGAGCCCGTCCTGGCCCGTGAGCCATTGCTTGATCTTTTGTGGAGGCGTCATCTCGAGATCTCAAACTGAAAGTTGAAACGGAGTCAAAAGCTTTTGGGTTGCCAAATCCAAGGTTTGCAGTGGACGCAGATGTCGTCTTCTTAACGTCCTTGGTTTTGCGCTGGGAAAATAGTCCAGAAATTTCGCTCAGCCAGTCTCGGCGGTCTTGGGAGAAGGGTGGGGTGGGCATCCCGGGCAGTATCGTCTACTTAAGGCCTGGATTTGCTATGTAAGCTGCAAGAAATGCAGATGGTGGATCTCGAGCAGCGGGCAGAAAACCGCCGAAGGGTGTGGGGATGGGCATTATTTCTATGTGTCGTTGCGATGACGATAGGGTGCTCACGGCTGGTCATTGAGGTGTTCGTGAGGAGGGTCACCGCATTGGCCGTCTTCGCCCGATGAGCCGAGGTAGGTAGGGTGTTGTCGGAAAGCGCGAGCCGATGCCAGCCTACAACACCAAGACATTCTCACGAGACTCAGGAGCGCATGGAAGAAGCCACCGACAACTGCAATATTCAATTCTTGCACATCGCGCACGGTGCTGCCTGCTAGGGTGAAACCTGGATCTTGCCAGATGATGCAGCATCCCTGATGACGCGCTACGATCGATCGACCCCGGAAAGCGGGAAGTCTCAGGGGTACCGTCTGGAACAAGGCCATGACGATGCTGGTGACCACTACATCGGAAAATAACATGCGATCGGGGAAAATGACATGCGATCGTTCCGGAACGTCTTATTTTATTATTGTATTGAAACTGCGCACGGCTCGTGGGGTTCAGGTACACGGGTACAATATTGGAGCTGCCACGCGACTTAGCGCGTGTGGGATGGGAAGAGAGCATGACGACATGCAAGACTGTGATATAAACGCGACGCGACCCTCTGGAAAGATGGCAGCATCTCATCCATTGCAACACATCGTATCAACATCCTCAACTTCTTCGACATCTTCGCCCCTTCATCAACATGAGGCCCCAACTACTCTACTCTGCGAGCCAGGAGGCTGTCCCTCCGCCACTCCAGAACTTCTTGAGCCCCGAGTTTGCGCCAGCCCTCACTGTGATGGAGCAGTTCGAAGCGGACCTTTTGCGCATGGACGAAGAGCATCTCCAGCATCGCGAGCGAGCTACACCCGAAGTCCCATCCCCATTCCCTGACGATGGACTACCAAGCGACTCCACTCTATTCGGCAGAGTGAGGACATTGTACCGACG